CACTTATTGGTGTTTGGGAAATAAGCTTGAAATAATTACTTATTTTAAAAATAAAGGTTTATTTTTAAGCTCAAATTTCCGGCTTTTTTTAAGTGTTTATATAATATGCACTTATTCAAAATTTTCTTCCAAAAGTATCCCTAATTGAATTTTATAAAAAAGCACTTCTGTAAAAGTACTTTTATAAAAGTACTTCTATGAAATTGTTTTTATAAAAATACTTTTGTAAAAGTGTTTTTGTTAAAGTTCTTTCGTAAAATTTGAAAGAAAATGAAGGACAAAATAGTCACAAATGCTTATTTAAGTGCTTATTGAGAAAAAGACTACCAAACGCCTAATATGAAATAAAAAATAAGCACTTCAAAAAGTTGGGTGCCAAATGCAAATAAGTGCTTATTCGAATAAGCACTTGTTTTTAATCACTTATTCAATAAACACTCCCAAACATGGCCTTATATGTGAAATGCATCCGTTATCCGCTTAGAGGTAGCTATGGGCACCATTTGTTGTATCATGGGCCACACTTGCTTGAAAAAGAGCTACTACTTTGGATAGTTGGACCGCAATGCCTCTTCTAAGCGAGAAGCTCTAATATAGAATTGAGTAGGAGGCTTTTGTATATGTTTAACTCAGTTATGGTCATTTCGAGTTTCGAGATCAATGTTTTAAAAACCGACTCAGAACAAAAACTGTTCTAGCCATTGGTTTTTAGGTCAACGGTTTGACTGTCTGGTCTGGACGAATGATTCATCACAATTTAAAAACAAAAAATAATTGAAACAAAAAAGATAAAAACCATTCATTGGGTCAAACAGTCAATGGTTTGACCACCCGGGTCAGCAGGTTGCTTCCCAAATAGAGCTAATGATTTTCTTTGTCTAAAAAAAAATCTAACTATGGACAGTAGCACCACGATCCAAGAAGTTGTCGGCCCCTCTCTGTGGAGCTAGGACTAAATCGGAAGTGAGTTGGGATCTACTAGCAAAACAAGTTCCAACACCGCACATCTTACCATGAAACTGGGACCTACCATAAAAGTGGGATCCACCATGTATGGATGTGCATTGTGAGATCATGTTGATGAGGAGTTTGGATCTGTCCTCACATAGTGCACCTCACACTAACCTTACAACACGTTCCAACCATGCATGGGGAACATCTCCTCATGAACAAAAATTTACAATTTTGAGGATGTTCCAGATACACAACTGAAACAACCTACGAGGTCGATGTGAGACATGCACTGTGAGGAGCATATCTGAACTCGTTGATGAGGTCTTGGAAGTTGGAAGTTATGTTGGTAGGAAATCCACACTTATTTGTTAGTGCGGACATATTGTTCCTTCACATAACCATCTTCACATTCTTTCATGGTAGTGCATCAGAAAGGAGTCCGACTTTGCTCCTCATAGAGCATGCCTCACACCCACCTCACAACATGTTTTGGCCACACATCAAAAATATCTCCTATACTTGTATTTATTATTCATGGGGAGATGTTCCCATTACAGAGTGGGATGTGATTGTGGTGTGAGACGTGCTCTGTGAGGAACATACCCTAATTCTTTGAAAACATCTCTCTCCTTAGAGATCACATTTGCTTGTCACACCAACCTCACAACACATTGTGCACATTGTAGCCATGCATCTAGAACATCTCCCATGTTCTCGTTCACTCGTTCAGGGGAAGATGTCCCCAATGCACAACTGCGATGCAGTGTGAGCTTGGTGTGAAGCTATGTGATTTCCTATTTATATATTTTTATTGACAGGGAGATTATTGAAAAAGTACAGATAGGCCCAATACAGATTTCTGAATTTCACTGCAGATCTATAAACATTTAAAATATCAAAAACCTCCACTATATACATCAATATCCGCCTATCAATTAGTATCAATTCAGAACTGACACCTATCCAAACTCTACTTTGAGCCTAAAAATTCTGACCCTGGGTTGCTGAACCGTCATTCCCCCGATTTCCATTGCACAGCTAAAGGTACGTGAGAACGGTGTGAAGACATTTTTGGGAGGAACAAATCCGCTCTCCCCGCACGCACCCGATAAGACATCCCAACCGTTTATCGGGAAGAATTTTATTTTTCTCAATATTAATTCGGAAGATGTTGATGTTCTCAATGCACGGTTGGGATGTATTGTGGGGCGCGATCTGTGAGGAGGCCAATCAAATCAAGCGCTGAAGCCGTAAAGGGTTGGGTTTTGAATCCCCAGAGAGACCGAAGAGCGACGTCTCTGCCTGCCTGCCATATCCGAATTCAAGAGTTCTAGCCATCATTTTTTTTTTTTTTTCTGAGCTTCGTCCACAGACTTCCATGGAGGTTCTCCTTCGAGCCTCCTTTGCAACTCCATTTTCTTCAACGAGCTCCAAATGTGTTCATAGGGAGAGGGTTCTCAATAATCATATTTCTTGCCTGATATTCGGAAATGGGGTTTCTTCGTTACGTTCATTTTTTCCCCAAGAGCTCTCTATCGTTGATAGGGGCAGAAAATCAGTAATTTCTGAAGCGAAGAAGAAGAATAAAGTCGATTCTCATAGCTTCATTCCAAAGCCAGATGAAGCCACTGGGATATTTCCTGAGGCCGTGCTGCTTAAGGAGGTTGTAGCTCAGGAAACAACTCTTGCTGCCTTTTCATTTTATCTTTATATTCATTTTCTTGGGTGGTAAGCTTATAATTTGTGAGTAATAGTTGTAACCTCAGTTTTGATTTGCGTTATAGAATTTGGGGTTCGAGAATTCAAATAGTTCTCTCCTCTACTTATTTACAGAGCATAGGAGAATTGGGGGTCTTCTCCTCTACCTTATGAGGGAAATCCTTTGCTCTTATAACCATAACTGGTCTTTTCTCTGTCTTTTGGATGGGTGAGTGACGGGTATGAGATTTGAAATTGTATACTGTCTTTATTTGTTGGTATTTGTGTAGTTGCACTTTGATGATTTTAGGTCGAGGTTAATATTATATCGAGAAGTAAACTGGCTTATCTTAAACTATGTGCAGTATCAGTTCTTTTTGGAGAATTTTGAAAATTTACTCTAATCACATTGCAGATATATGATTTTTCGCTTCTAAATTTTTTTTTTGATACGTTCCAATTTTGTTGGATACATTCGAAGAGAGTATTAATATCACCATCATTAAGTTGCTCTATGTTAGACTTGAAGAATTATTTTCTACTTTGGGTTTTTGTATTTTCATGTATTTCCATGGTTAAGAGAACTAGATTGCTGTTTTTTTTTTTTTTGGATTGTTGTGATGGTGGACTTTTGTCTTGAATTTCAGAAGAAAGTTCAGGAAGATGGTAGAGTTCTCCCTGAATTTGCTGACGCTGAAGAAGGTTGTTGTTACAAATTTTGTTTTCTTTCTGAGAAGTAATGTTCTCATTATCCACAGGTTTCTGAATAACTAAGTTAAATTGCTAACTTGCAGAAGAACTTTTTGAGTTCCTGAATCTTCAGATGGAAAGCCAATTGAATGTTGAACGAAGTAAGGATGTTATAATTCCTTTTTTCTTTCTGTTAAAAGTCCTAATTTGTCTTAGACATGAGCTATTGCTTCATTTCTTTTTCTTTTTCTTTTTATGGGCATGAGAGAATGAGAAAGATTACATATTATTTTTATCATTAGCCGCTGATAAAGAAAATTTTATGTTTGGTTTTATAATGAACTAGATCCAGTAAGAGATGAAATTACTATATTTTTAACCTTTCCTCATTTGTCTTCTCCTCTGCCCCCCCTCCCTTTTCCACTTCCCTCTGTTTATCTTCTTTCTCCCACGATTTTCTATAGGCACTGCTGCAAATGAAACTAGCATATCATGCCCTGAGGGAAAATAGGATACACACACACACATATTAGTAGTGCAGAGCTTGGGATTATGTGAACAGAGCAACTGTCTATCAATAATGGAGAAAGGAATTAAAATAAAAATAGGAAACATGTCTACTAGGTACTAGCCATGTTGTTTTCCATTGCATTTGAGAGCACAAGTTACACCACATAAAACAAAATCATTTCCAGATGTCAACAAAACATAGAATGAGGTCATTTCAGACTTTGAAGAAACAAAAACTTATTTTCATTTTCTCTTAAACTGAAAATGAATCCCTTCTGGACGATGACATTGTGGTTTCAATTCAATTGTTATGTGAAACTAAAGTGAAACAATTGTATTCAAATGCTCCAAATGTGGTGATTTGGGATTATATACAAATAAACCCTCGAGCCTTTGGACCTTGAGTGAAGACATGAAAGAGATAGTGGGTTTTAATTCACCGATGACCTACGTGACATAAGGAGGTGGCAGATCTTCTTGCATATTGGACCCAAGCAGATCTTAAATGGGGCTCAGTTGACTCCTGTAGATGTTCTGAAATTGATTGTTAATGATATTAAGGGTAGTATTGCATGGGCACAAACATGGGAATCATGATCCAAAACATGTCCAGAAGTCTGATTCAGCAAGATAGGAAAACATGGACTCATAGACATATCTATAGAGAAGTAAGTAATTGCAAAGTAATCAATATACTTTTAATTCTAACATCATATACCTATAGAAAAAGGTAAAGAAGCTTATTTATTTTACTTAAGTAGCATTATATGTGAAAAAGATATTTGTCATGTACATTCGCTTGTCTGAAATAAGCAAGGGAAACAAGAAAGTATTAAATAGAAGTTTAGAGGCATTGTGTCTTTTTTTACCAATCATGTTAAGGTGTTGGCTATGCCCTGTCTGTTATGGCCCCCGTCCTCACAAAAATAAATAAATAAGAAACCAAACAGATAGAAAAGAAAGAAGAACAGTCAAACTGTCTGCCAACAAATCTCTAATTGCATCTTTCCTTTGACATGTCTAGTTAAACAAATTTAATGGTGACTAATTGATCCATTCCTTTTTCCATGTGCAGTGCGCCATTATGAAGTTGTTTATTTGATTCATGAAGATCATGTTGAGGAGGTGGACAGTGTAACTTCAAAAGTTGAAGGTGATCTATTCCTGCTCTTTAGTATTTGTGCAAAACCTACTGAAGTTTACCTAATTATATTTGATAAAAGATTGTACTCGGGTTCACATGGGCTTCTTTGATATATTTTCTTTTTGTTTCTTTTTTTTGGTTACATGAAACTAGCTTTTCTAGGTGGCGATTTTTTTTGAGAAAAGGTTATGTAAAATTTTATTGATAGAAAACTTGTACAAAGTAGAAAGGCCCCCCAATATTTATCAAAAAAAAAAGGCCCCCCAACTAAACACTTTAGAAGGGGAAATAGCCCAAACATAACAACATTACAGATGCCATAGGCTCCTAGAATTCAGCCTAGCCCCCAATTTAGCAGCCTGGATTCCCTTTGAAGCTGAATCCAAGAAGTCAGTTTTCCAACAGAGATGGAAATCAGGTCCGGATCCTTATAAATATTCTGAAATAATCTTTTGTTCCTTTCTGCCCAAATGGTGCTGATGACTGCAGCTGGAATGGATATCCACACATCTGAAGCAAGCTTTGACAAACCCAGTAATCCCCAGCTCCACAACATCTCCTTCACCGAAGCTGGCATTGACCAGGCAAGACCCACCAAACCAAGGAAATGATTCCATATTCTATCAGAAATTGAGCAATGTAGAAACAGATGACTGCTATCTTCCACTCCTTGACCACATAACATACACTTCTGGTCCTGGATATGAACCCCTCTTTTACATAGGTGGGCTTTAGTTAAACACCTATCTAGAACTGCAGCCCACACTCGAGCATTGATTTTTGAGGGAGTAGTTGGATTCCAGATTCTGGAAGCAGGCATATCTTTAGCAGTACTCATTGTCATGTGAGTGGAAAATGACTTGTTTGAGAAAAGGCCATCTGAACTCCAATTCCAAGACCAGCTGTCTTCTCTGAGCAGATTTAAGGGTTGAAGAGAGAGCAGTTCTAGTAGATCAGCCAATGCAGGAATTTCCCAATCCTTAAAATTCCTTCTGAAAGAAGGGCACCAGACTACTGAGTTTCCCACCACCTCAAAACAATCAGCAACCACTGCATCTTGATGGTCAGCTGACTGGAATAGATGTGGGAATCTCTCTGAAAGAGTAGTATTTCCACACTAGGCATCTTTCCAAAAGGACAGCCTGTCACCCTTCCCAAGGATGGGGCTTAAGCCTCTACTGTAAATAGGTAGAATATCCATTATTTTACTCCATACCGAACAACCTAGGGATGGGGGAGAAGAAGTTGTGATTCAATCTCCTCTGTCTGTGTTGTATTTTAATGCCATTAACTTCCTCCACCAGTGATTTCTTTCCAACCCAAACCTCTAGATCCATTTCCCAAGAAGAGCCTTATTAAAGGTCCTCATTTTCCTTATACCCAAACCTCTTTTACTTTTCAGAGAGCACACCTTGTCCCAACTTACCAAGTGGATTTTCTTCCTATCCTCCTCCCATCCTTTCCATAAAAAGTCCCTTTTTGCAGCCTCTCAATCCTTTTGGCCACTTTACTTGGGATTGGGAATAAAGAGAGATAGAATGCTAGCAAGTTGGATAAGGAGCCTTTTAACAAAATAATTTTGCCCCCCAAGGACAAGTATCTAGCTTTCCAAGATGCCAATTTCTTTTCAAGCCGCTCTAAGACTGGTTCCCAGATCAGAGCTGAAGTGCATTTTGCTCCTAGGGGGAGTCCCAGATATTTTGTTGGGAGGAATCCCACCTGACGCGCTAACCTCTCTGCCAAGTCCTCTACATTTTCCACTTTTCCCACTGGGATCAAACTGCTCTTACTCCAATTGACTTTCAGACCTGTCACCACTTCGAACCAGCTTAAAACTCCCACTAAGAGATCTAAGTGTTCTTCATTGGCTTCCAAAAAACATAGGGTGTCATCTGCGAATTGCAGAACCTGAACCTTCTCCCCTCCTAGCACCACCTCAAAGCCCTTCCACCACCCCTCCCCTACTTTTTGAATGAAGATTGTAAGTAGTTCCATCATACAAATGAACAAAAGAGGGGAGAGAGGATCTCCCTGCCTAAGACCCTTTTAAAGAAACCTGCTGATTGGCCATTAAGGATGACTGAAAACTTTGGAGAGGTGACACAGACTTTAATCCAGTTCCTCCAAGTCTGCCCAAAATTCATTTTGTTCAACACACAGTCCAAACATCTCCAATTGACATTATCATAAGCCTTTTCGAGATCAAGTTTACAAAGTAGACCCGGATTTCCCTCCCTTAACCTTGAATCAATTAATTCATTGGCCACTAAGATACTGTCCATCATTTGGCGACCGGGGACAAATACAGACTGATTTTGGGAGATCACACTTGGCAGCACCTTTTTCAACCTCTCTGCCAAAACCTTGGCCAAAATCTTATAGAAGCTATTTAGGAGACTAATGGGTCTGAAATCCTTCAAATTTGTGGCTCCTTCAATTTTTGGGATCAAAGATATTAAGGTAACATTTAAGCTTCTTTCCAAAGAGGCATTTCTATGGAAGTCCTGGAAAACCTGCATCACATCTGTTTTCACCACATCCCAACAACTTTTATAAAATAAAATGGTAAGCCCATTCAACCCGGGGGACTTTTATGAATCTAAATTCTTTATCACCTGGCAAACTTCCTCTTCCGAAAAAGGAGCTTCCAAACAACTTTGTTGGTCCTCCGAGATTCTTTTGAAATTAACTCCCTTAGGTAGAGGTCTTTTTTTCCAATCTTCCTTAAAGAGCTTTGCGAAGAAATTTATAACCATTTTTTTCTTATCTTGCCAAGATTCCCCTACCTCCCCCTTCAGTTCCAATTTTTCAATTCCATTTATTCTATTTCTAGCCTTTACCATTTTGTGAAAAAAGCTAGAATTTCTATCTCCAGCCTTGAGCCATTTCACCTTTGCTCTTTGTCTCCATTTTAGTTCATCCTTATATGCTAATTTGTCTAGGAGCAATTTTGCTGACAGTCTTCTTTTCTTTTCTTCCTCTGAGATGGGGCCTCTTTCTTCTGCTGAATTTATCTCTTTAATTTCCTCCAGACACCTCCTCTTTTCATTTTCAGATTTATTCCAAATTTCTGCCTTCCAAGATTTCAAAGCCTCCTTAATTGCACCCAATTTTTTTGCTAAAATGTAAGAGCTTGTTCCCACCACTTGAGTTCTGACCAAGTGTTATTTCAAAAAAGGTACAAAGTCTTCTTCTTCAAACTATGCATGTTCCAATTTAAAGCTAGACTTCCTTCGGATTTGCCCACCGCAAACCAATTGAAGAGGGGAATGGTTTGAAATTGGCCTTGGCAAAGCTTGTTGTTTCAGGTTTTGGAATAGGTCTTCCCACCTCGGGGACACCAGAAATCTATATCAAGTTTTACTAGGATAGGCTCCTCTTGGTTGTTTGTCCATGTAAATTGAGCCCCAATTAGTGGAAGATCTATCAGTTCAAATTGATTTATAAAGTTTGCAAAACGCCTTCTGTCTCTAGCTCTGTTTCTCCCCCCATTTCTATCTTCCAAAAATTTGGTTACATTGAAGTTGCCTCCTACTACCTAAGGGATCGTGGAGGATCCTCTTGCATCAGATAAGTCCCCCCAAAGTCTTTCCCTCTCTTCATTTAAGGTTGGGCCATAGACATTGGTAAACAAACCCCTTACTCCCCCCTCCCACTCTAATTCCACTGAAATGGAGAAATCTCCAACATGGGAGTTGATCATCTTGCATCTCGATCTATCCCACATGGTAATTAAACCTCCTTCCCTAACTCTAGATGGTTTGTAGATCCATCTAACTTCCCCTTCTCCCCATATACTTCTGATTGTTCCACTTCCAATTTGGATTCTTGCAAGAAAACCACCTCCGACCTCCATCTTTTCAGGAAATCGCACACCACCATCCTTCTTCTCCCTGACACAAAACTTACAACTGAGCCCAGAACCCAGAAGCCCTATTAACCCCTTGCCTAGCTAAACCCCTCACATTCCAAGACAAGATTTTTAACTCCATAAAGAAAACACAGTAAGAACACCTCCCCTTATGTCCCGGCCTTTCACTTTCCTCTACCTCTTCTTTCCCCCTCCCCTTTTCCTGCCTTCTCATTCAAACCCCACGAGAGTCTTAGCATTTCCTTGTTTTTCTTGAAAGAGCTTCCCCCTTTTCTAGCTTTCAGTTTTTTCTTTTTCTACTGACAACCTCTTCTCTATCCCCTCTAAGTAGCTGACTGTCTCCTCCCCCAGTCCCTCTATTGACACCCCCAAAAACTTCCCCAGCCCCAACAGCTTTGAGGTCACCCAGGCTGAAGTAGAATCGACCTTCTTCCTTCCCTCATTTTCCTCACCCCTCTCCCCCTCCACAACCACCTCCTTTCCCCTTCTTCGTTCACCCTCTTGAAACAAAACAAAGTTGCGTACCTAATAAATTGGGATTTCGGCCGGCGGATGGAACTGTGGGATAGCTTCCTCTCTAGCCTCAATTATGGCCAACGGGGTAATTTTTTCTGGATTTGAGTCCTCTAATCCTATCTCCGTCGTCACCTCAGCCGCTTGGACATCCTCCCCCATCACAACAGAGGTGTTGGAGACCCTAGAAGGCGTCTTTTGTTTATGAAGAGGCTTTTGCAGGTCTCTTGAGCATCTCCGCTCCACACCAGCCTTCAATTGAGCACAATTATCCCTTTCTACAAGGAAGATCTTCTTTGTTGAGACTAACCACATCGGTCCCTGTGGCCAGGTTTGCTTGCCCTCCCGAGATCCCAGAAGGGCTTGAGGAGAAACTAGCTGGGTCCAGGTTTCAATCTGGTTGCTTAGACCGTTTGGGGTGGAGTTGTTCTCCCCACTAATTGTCCTTGGTTCTCTTTTGCCCGAACCACCCCCAAGTGTCCTTCCTACTGGGCTTGCCGAATTCAATGGTTCCCCCCCCTTTGGTGTTCTTGCCTTGCTGGCATCCACTCCAATTCTTTTAAGCATTCCAGAATAGTTTCTTTTAAGGCTTCTTTCGAAAATCCCGCTCCTCCTTGGTCCTTATTCAAAATTTGAATCTCCTTTTCCCATTGACCATTGATACTCGGCTCCATCGCACGGTGGGGGATGGATTGTTGATTCCCGAGCCAGCCCCCCTGGTTGACCCCATCTCGGGCACGGATCTCAAATGTCCCCTCTTCCTTTCCTCTTTCTTCTTTCCCTCCGGTAACCACCTCTGATCTCCGTGTTATCCTCCACCTCCTCTTCTAGAATTACCGTTCTGCTTACCTCCTGCTCCAGATCTTCTCTAGCTTCTCCACGAGGATTCAGTCCCCCTAGATACTCTTCCCCTTCTGATCTCTTCTTTTTCTCCACCACCGGTCTTCTCTCTTTCCAGATCCAGATCCAGAACGTGGAATCACCTGTCACGATTTTAATCTTTTCTGGCACCTCTCCCTCTGTTCTAATCTTGATGCAAACCCATTCACAGGTTCTCAACTCCTCCACCAAATCGTCTGTCCCTAAAAAACCCCCACAGATATTCCCTATCCCCTCTGTTATTTTTGGACACCAGAGCTGCAGCGGCAGGCCAAACAATCGCCAGCCAGTTTTGTCCTAGCCTCCAAGGTCCATTGTACAACACCCATTCCGTCTCCTCCCTAGAGGGGAAGATAAACAAGTATTTGTCATCTATTAATTTTTTGATCCTCACCCCTGTTACCTCCCCTCAACTTCTTGCCGCCCAAGATTCGATTTCTTCCACCCCCACCTTCCTCTCGAAGCAGCCCACTAAGCAGCCCTTCAGAAACTTCGTTCTGGCTTCCATCCCCCTTTCTTCCATTTCCAGAAATTGCCGATCCCCCTCCCTTCAAATGATTGTCTCCCCAAATCCAGGCCAAATCCCTACGCCTACCGCGCTTTTATAGGAGAAGTTCCTTTTCAAACCTAACCCTTTTTTGTTCGGATTGTGCCAGTTCTCCACCTCCCATCTACCTCCCTTTCTATCCGGGAAACCTGAACCACATCTTACGGAAACCAGACTATCTAAGCCATGTTTCCAACTTGTGGGTTTATCTCTCCCGGTCACCGACGTTAGGTTTCGAAGTTCTCGTCATCATACCTCCCATCGCCTCTTCGTCGTCTACAGCCGTCGCCTCTCGACGTCTACAGTCATCGTCGCCTCTCATCGTAAGAAGTGTTCTGGTTTTTCAAAAATTTTATCTGAACCACATCTTGCGGAAACCAGACAATCTAAGCCATGTTTCCAACTTGTGGGTTTATCTCTCCCAGTCGCCGACGTTAGGCTTTGAAGTTCTTGTCGTCATACCTCCCATCGCCTCTTCGTTGTCTACAGTCGTCACCTCTCGATTAGACTATGGAACTGGTATTCCAGAAAATCTGAGACGGCTCTTCCAGAGTGATGAGGGTTAATTTGATTTCCCTATAAGATGGCATATAAATCGCATGCACTCAACATATTCAACCTCCCTTTTCATTCCTTTCTTGAAGAAAATGATGGAAAAAGGGATCTGAAAAGCCTAGGTTCTTGAATTCAGCTGATTTCTTAATTAATAAATCAAGCATGCTGAAATTAAAGTAGGAAAGGGATATTCATGTGCCATATATTTACAGCCTTATGTTGCTTGCTTCCTATGTTAACAAATAATAGCCCATGTGTTGGGTTCAATTATTTCAATCTTGAATATTTCTCCTAAATCTTAAAATTTCTGCAAGTTGTTTTTACATATTGGGAGGTTATCTATGGCATTTTTGTTTTCTTTGGGGCTCTTCCTTCTGTAAATGTTTGTATAGCTACTGAGCTATTCATATATATGATTTAAACCTTCCTTTTAGAAAAGTTTTCAACATTTCCTGGAATCCATTTTTGCAGAGTTCATAAGGGAGAAGAAGGGTAAGATATGGAGACTGAATGATTGGGGTCTTCGGAGGCTGGCATACAAGATCAAGAAAGCGAGTTATGCCAAATACATTTTGATGAATTTTGAGCTGGAAGCTAAATGGATCAATGATTTCAAGAGCATATTGGACAAGGATGAAAGGGTCATTCGGCATTTGGTAATAAAGAGGGACAAAGCAATCACAGAAGATTGTCCTCCCCCTCCTGAGTTCCACACATTGCGTGCAGGGATGGACGATGACGAGATAGAAATGGATTATGATGATGCATATGAAGACGAAGAGGATGGGGATTATTTGGAAGATGAGGGTGAGTTAAACATGATTGACTACGATGATGATATTGAAGATGGTATTATTCTTGTTGATGATGAGAATGACAATGGTGATGAAGGAAGACATACAAATCACAGATCAGCTAGCCTAAGAAAAGGTAGAAAGCAAACGCTGAAGGCTGGTAAAGTAGCGAGGTAGTTCCCTTTTCTCCCCTTGTTTTAGTTGAGGTAAATTGTAAGGTGTGAATGGACGAAACCTCTTTTTATATCCTTGTTGATATTAAAAGCAAAAGCTTTATTGTAATGATATCAATGGGTAGTTTGTTCTATTGAAGCTAACAGGACCTTTTCCAATCCAACCACAACTAGTATTTGCTGAATAACACCATGCGTTTACTTTAATATTGTCTTGAAAACATCCAGGGCTGAGTTTGTTGGGTCAGAGTGGTTGAAGCGAAAATGCAAGCCATCTTCTCCGTCAGATTTTGCAGCACTTGTGATACCGTAATCGTAAAACCTTAGGGCCCATTTGGAAGGGTTTAGCTTTGGCTGCTTTGAGTAAGCTACTCGAACTGCAAGAGTATGTCTGTGTTGAACCTTGACTGTAAACATTGGTTGAGAAGGTTCAGAATTTTGTCCTCACCAAATTGGTCCTCACACCAACTTTACAATACTTCCAAACGTGCATTATAACATCTTCTCATGAATGAAAGCCAAGGTTTTAAAAATCAACCCGGAAACGGAACGTCCTAACTATCGGTTTCCAGGTCAGCAGTTTGACCATTTGGGTCGAACGGTTCGGACGGTTTGCAACTTTGCATTAGGGCAAATATTTATATGTTTATATGAGAAAGGAGAATGGAGAAGAGACTGTTGTCGGCTGAGAAAGAAAAAAAATAAAAAAGAAAAGAAATGAAGGAGAAAGGAAAAAAAAAAGAAAAGAAAAGGAGGGAAGAAAAAGGAGAAGGGAAGGAGGGAAGAAGAAGGAAGAGGCTGAGGATGATTCAACTCTAACCGGCGATGATAATGGCGGTGGAGATAATAGACACAAATCTAAGATTTGAGTTCTCGGATCTCAAATTTGAGATCGATTTCTCTGTAACGTCTGTACTGTAGTTTTCTTCTCTATCTCAGAGTTGAGTTCGTGTCTCAAACTTGATTTCAAATCTGAGGTCCTGTGTTTCTCTCCTCTACAATTTTTTTTTTTAAACTGAGTTGTTGTCCGGGTCAAATGAATCGACGGTTCAATCGCTCCGGTCAACGGTTTTTTGACGAAGTCAATGGTTTTTTATCCAAGAACAGGTTAGGAGTGAAACGAAACCGGTTACTTGGACGATTTTCGGGCTGATCTATCCAACCGTTCGAGTCAATGTTGATTCAAAAACATTGATGAAAACATACAAGCAAGGTTCAAAGTATAGACACATATCGGCCCGTATCGGTCGATATGTATCGTTCCGGGACCCCTCCAATACGCCCCTATAGTGGGTGTATTGGGGGTCTGACCGATTAAGGGGATGGAGGAGCCCCTAAACCGGCCTCCCTGAACCGATTTCAGAAAAAAAAAATTAAAACAAAAACTTAAAAAAACAGTTTCAATTCGGCCGATACGCTAGTATGGATATTTTGAACCTTGCATACAAGTACCGAAATGTTATCAATGCATAGTTGCTACTGTTGTGAGGACAGTGTGAGAACCAATTTTGTAAGGACAAAATCAGATAGTGCAAAGAGAAAGATTATGGTGCCCGTTTATTCAACAATGAGAATACAACCCTCCATGATAATGATAGTAAATAATATGTTTTTAAATCTTTTTTATAACTTTTTTATATTTATATAGTTATAAAATTTATTCTTATTTGTCACATTTATTTTTGTCTAATATGATGAATATATGATATTAGAGAATTCTCAAATGTTTTTATAAAATTGTTTGTTTTTCTATACTTTTGTGAGTTTTCATCTTTTTTTAATTATTATTACTATTTAAGTATAACATCAAAGGGTTTACACATTGTCTTAAAAGGTTGAATTGTTGACTTGCTACAAAATGGTAAAGCAACTTTTAGGTTGGCTTTAAATATGTATTTTATTTCTATCATTAATAAAAGCAATCATTCTTTGTCACACTTATTTTTCTTTAGGGAAATTGTCTAAAACTCACCATGAGTTTTCAACATTTCCCTTAAACTCACCACAACTTTTCAAAATGTCTAAAACTCACCATGTCAGTAAGTTTTTATTTTCCAAAACTAACATTCCATTAGTGCACTGTTAATGCTTCTTAACAGAGGTGTCCAAGTCATCATAAATAACAATTTTCATGACCAAATTACCCTTATATGGTGAGTTAGAGGAAAAATGGTCTTTTTCAATTTTCTTGTTTTTTTTTTTACATTGTCTATTTTCTACAATCTATAAATTTTCCTGTATTTTTTGTTATTTATTTGTAATTTATGTGTTTTTCTATAATTTTTTGGTGTTTTTTCTACAATTTTATTTTCTAATTTTGTTTTTCAATTTCTATAGTTTCTAAAATTTGAAAGTATTTTTTTATTTTTCTTGCAATTTCTATAATTTTTTATATTTTTTTGTAATTTTTATATTTTATGTATTTTATATTTGAAAATATTTTTTGAACATTTTCCTTTTTTTCATGTCTAAATATTAAAATGATAATATATTAACACCTGTTAATTTATTTTGTATATATTTATATTTTTCTATGAAGGTTAAAATGGTAATATATTAACACCCATTAATCTGTTTACCGTCAAATTAATGACATGGTGAATTTTAAACATTTTGAAAAGTTGTGGTGAGTTTAAGAAAAATGCTGAAAAGTTGTGGTGAGTTTTAGACAGTTTTCCTTTTCTTTAATATGGTTAATTAATATAGGATTAAATGAAAGAATAGGAGTTAATACACTAAACATAAGGCTTAATAACATAAAATTGATTGAATAGAAATGTAGTAGTTCAATTACAGTGTGCTCTCACAGTTAAAAACGGGCCAAATTTAAAAAGTAAGTATATTCTAATCAAAATTAGAATCAACAAATATTAATAGGAGTTAATATCTTAAATATAAGAATTAATGAATGGGATTTGAATAAGGAGAAATTTAATTGTTCAAATTACATTTTTATAGAATAAACAAATTCAAAAATTAGGGTATTTTAATCAAATAGTAGTATATTGATGTAGACTTCACATTTTATTGAGTGGTTTTGCACCTTAAAAAATGAAGGGTCTACTCTGAACCAACAAAACTTAAGAATCAGTGCAAAGAGAAGAACACCGTAAAGGCTCACAGTGGGGCCGAATTACGTCAGTCCCGCTTTGCTCCATTCACCTCACCCTACGTAGCTATGGTTGAATTCACATCTGCGCCCCACACTTGGATCAGGTTGGGCTGAGCGTCTGATAAATTTTGAATGAATCCGAACCCAAAACCGAGTCCGATGTAGTTGAAATTCTATGCGGCTCATTGCATGAGATGATCAGAATAGCATCCTTTATTTGACATTTCCGTGAGCAACCTGTGAGCTATGCTCCATGCCTCCATTGAGCGTGTGGATGATCAACCCAGAAGATAAAATGTGTGGATTCGAATGGAAAAATCTGGATCCGGACTGCCCACCAAAATCAGACATTTTGCTGATGGCTCTTGTGTCCCAAGCTGACGGCTTAGATTAAGGGAATACGGAGCTTCCCGTCTATCCATCTTTAACTTATACACATACGACCTCCGCTGCGAGCCTGTGACGATGGCGCCCTCCGTCAGTCCGTCTATGTCATCTCGCTATATTTATGCTTTCGCGACGACCCACCTGAATCGCATGATCAATGGATATGTTCGTAGTGGTCATCTGAATGAGGCCCGAACCCTGTTCGATCAAAATATCGAAGCCCGGAATATCATTTCTTGGAATTCGCTGATTGCTGGGTATGTTAAAAACGATCAAATTCGGTTTGCTCAGGATTTGTTCGATCAGATGCCCAAGAGAGATGTTGTTTCGTGGAACACCATGTTATTGGGTTTCCAACGTACCAATGACCCAGAAAAAGTTGTTCAATATTTCATACAAATGGGAAGAGTTGGACTGGCTCCGAGCGAGTTCACATTGTCGATTGTAGTGAGCGCCGTTTGTGGCACGGGTTTCCGACTTCTGATCCCGCAACTTCATGCTCGTATAGTTTGTTCAGCGTTTGGTTCATGCGTTTTCGTTGGATCAGCTCTGGTCGGAGGTTATACTGATTTGGGGTGTTCGATATCTTTACGTCGAGTATTCGACGAAATTCGCGTGAAGAACGTAACGTCATGGAACGCGTTGATATCAGGTTATATGGATTTGGGTTGCTTAGCTGAGGCTCGTAGCACTTTCCAAGCAATGCCAGAGAGAAATGTAGTTTCTTGGACTACTCTGGTTAATGGGTTTATTCGCAATAAGAAGCTCAGCGAAGCTCGTCTCAATTTCGACAGAATGACAGATAGAAATGTGGTTACATGGACCGTCATGATAAGTGGGTACGAGCAAAATCGCCAGTACACAGATGCTTTAGAGCTATATCTCCTTATGCGTAATTCAGGTGTTCGACCGAATCACTTCACCATCTCTAGTGTTCTGAGCGCTTGTGCAGGTTGTTCGTCGCTTCTCATGGGCCAGCAAGTCCATTCGAGCATCTTGAAGTCTGGTTTACCAGTTGATGTCATCGTGTCAACCTCACTTGTTGATATGTATTCAAAGTGCGGAGACGTCTGTGCAGCATTTTGTATCTTCAATTCCATGATAGACAAGAACTTGGTCTCATGGAATTCAATCATAGGAGGTTACGCTCGACATGGTCTCGGAACGAGAGCATTGGAGGAGTTTGAGAGAATGATAAGCAGTGGTGTGAGGCCTGATTATATTACATTCATAAACGTATTGTCAGCATGTGGGCATGGAGGGTTGGTTGAAGAAGGTGAAAGATACTTCATGTCTATGGAAGCAAAGTATGGGATCCAACCTCAGATTGAGCATTACGCATGCATGGTGGACATGTTTGGCAGAGCAGGTCAGCTTGAAAAAGCAGAGAAATTGATCAAAGAGATGCCCTTTGAGCCTGATATAATTGTGTGGGGGGCGTTACTGGGAGCCTGTGGATTGCATTCTAGTTTGAAACTTGGCGCCTTTGCTGCAGAAGAATTGTATAAGTTGGAACAGGATCATCCTGCTATATATTCTATGTTATCAAAAATCCATAGTGACATGGGAGTATGGAGCAGTGTAATTGAAACGAAAGAGAGGATGAGAGACATGAGTGCTAGAAAGCAGAAGGCGAGTAGTTGGATTGAGCGTATTCTGCCTTTAAGATGACGAAACGCATAGAAAATTCTAATGCCCATAACAGTAAATCCTAACATTTCTTTTTCAATATACAACCATGTAGTATATTGTATATTGAAACATTGTATTCAATCCAGATTCAGGCCATATGCAAGAGCAGTATGGATTCAAGCCAACATTGGATTCAACCCAGATTTTTATGAGGTACAACCCATGCAAGAAGTAGCAAATAAATGGCTTCAAAATCTTCAAGTAGAACCAAGACTTGCTGCAATGGATTTTTGGTAAATGGGTTGTGCTTATGAGATTAATATGGGAAACGAGAAATGGCAAGTTCTTTCTCGATGTAAAATGGATCCCAAGATCACCTTATGAGCTCTTAATTGAATAATGCAAGACTGGCATGACTAATCATAATGCAAGAACCTTCTCAAGTTTGCAGACTGGTGTTGGCTTCTTGATATTATCTCCTAACAAAAATGTTGTTGCAACAATAGGAAAACAATTGATGGTTCAACGTTCAGGGCCCAGAACAGGCGGAAGGCTCTAGATTTTCATCTGCGAAGAGTTCAAGTTTTTACAGATTTTGCTAAGTTAGCTTCTCAGTATGTTGTCGATCTGTTTGATAGTTGTAAAGTAATATTAATATATATCAAAAGAGAATGTAATATCATAGCTCATACAATAGCAGGAAAAGCTAGGCAAAGAGATGAAATATCTTGAATCTTCACCAAGTTGGTTGTAAGAATCCTTTTTTTCGGCCCTAGCACAGCATGGAGATGTAAACTAATTTCTTAATGAATGTTTATCTTGAGTTTTGCCAAAAACAAAAAAACATGTAGTAATTTACTCTGGCTTACAATTAGTCCTTTGGCATGGAACAGATACTTAACTTCTTTGTAGATACAACACTTTCTCTTTTCCTTTTTCTTTTTATCGTGTTGTGGATGGAAGCAGAAAGAAACAAGACAGTTCCACATTAATTCTCATATACAGACACGGCAGCATGGCTTAAAATTGGGTATCTCCAAAAGAAGTACAAGTTACCATGCAAGGAATGATTGATGAACGAGGAGCTGATTATTTTTGCAGCTTAATAACATTGTTCATCATTGGACCACCCCTTCCATAATAAATATTGGTGCCACTAAAACCTAAAACAAAACTAAAAATAAAACTGAAAAATAGAAAGTCAAAAGACCATAGGCTTTAACTATTGATAACATCCAACCAAGATGAATCTAGTAGGAGTCAGACCAAAAATACTGACCCTTGGAACGTAAAACAATGTCAAAACAAACAATTACAGTTTTTATAAATCTCAAAAATTAGGAACTAACTATTGCTCAGTTGCCCGCTTCAACAAAATTTGAAGCCACCAGAGGGAACATTGGGCTGACTGTTTCCAAACTCAAAGCCCTGTTGGGTAATTTCCCCATCTTGAAGATTCTGTTCTTCCTCTTCTTCATCAACCCAGTATCTCTCCAATATCTTCATCGCCTTCTCATAAATCTCATTGTTGTCATGGTTCTGCAGATTCTCAATTTTGTCCAATCCCTCACATTCATCAATCATCTGTGCATACATATTCACCCCACCAGTCTTTCCCAACTCTTTGTCAGCCTCACCCACCTTTAAAATATTCTCAAGGCCCTCAAGGCACACAGTTACAATTCTTGGATCTGGGCAGACTAGAAGATCACAAAGTGGCTTGATGCAGCCTTGGCTAACCAGATATCTGCAAAATTTAAAAAAAAAAAGAAAGAAGTATTAATCAGTAATCAAAATCTGAGTAAATATATAGCATGACAACAATAGCAGCACCAATGGTGGCCCCTTGTATCCAATGAATACCTAAATTTCTAGTATTTAAATTTGACCACAAAGTTTCTCTTTGCCCACCACAATAATAGTAATAACAGCAAAGAAAACAATATTTTTTGATGAGTAGCAAAGAAATCTACATCATTTTTCTCTTTATGTTATATGCACCCATCAAGAAAGCAAAATTATATCAAAGAAAAAGTTGGGTACAAAAAGAATCATACTGGATCTGTTCATGGGTCCCCCCAGAGGTAGCATTTGAGATGGCCCATGCAGCCTCCTTCTTGATTTCAAACTCTGCATGTTGAAGTAGTTGCACTAAAGGGAAGATGATATTGGCATCAATAACAGCCTATTACACAAGACAAGGCAGATAAATTTGAATGCCATCCTACTATTGATGATAAATGAGATAAGTAAAAAGAAAGATGATCACTACCTTATTGAGTTATTGTATAGCTAATATAGCTTAAAATTAGGGCATCCCAGTGCACGAGGCTCCCACCAATGTGGGGGTCTGGGGAGGGACAGATGTATGCAGCCTTCCCCTGCGCATACAGAGAGGCTGTTTCCAAGATTTGAACCCTGGTCACCCAGGTCACAATGGAGCAACCCAACCGTTGCACCAAATAATTGTTATGATAAAACATTGCTCATATGGCAGAAACTACCAAATAATTGCCATGGGCTCCCCAATATCCTAATTAATGGAACTCCTCATTGTAGAATCATCATTAGATTAAAATGCACAAATGACAAGAATTTACCTGTATCTGACCTCGGTTCCCTGCAGTGATATTTGAGATTGTCCAACATGCTTCCTTCTTGATGCTTTTTTTGTGATTTTGTGTGAGAAGTTGATAGAGACAGGGTAGGACTTGGTTTTCAATTACATACTGAACAACATAATTCACAAATTATTTTCACATCAACAGAGAGTACACAATAAATGCACAAGAACTAATATATGCACATATGTCTGTGCCTGTATAAATATATCCTCTGTGTATGTGTGCAAGTGCAAGCACACACACATTCATAAGTAACAGAATTCAATGGAAGGGAGCAAATACATAAAGCTTCATTTCTAAGCAAATTTCAATCACCAATAACAGTCTTGATATTCACTAGAGAGCAATGTTACCTTATTGGATCTTCCCAAGACATTAGTTTATTTTTGTGTTGTGATAAGAGAACCAAGGCTCTGGGCCCATACTGGAGCCCATGAGGGAGTTTTTCCTTGTTAGAAAATTTCCATTAGTTGCAATTTCCTCACACATGTTAGTGGTGTACCCTCTTCCAACCAGGATGCCCTAAAGCTGACTCTTGTCATTGTTCAAATATGTATTGCAAGCAGATCAGTTTCTTCCAGAATTCCAATGTTGCTTTCATTCACTTGTTGATTGCAAATCAAATTACAGGTTCCTGATCTAAAGTAAATTTACAGAAAATTCTAATTTCCACTAAGTATTCAAAAAGCCATTGAATAAAGAAGCCAGCATATTTCCTCAAGAATTCCCCTCACTTCACTCCTTCAAGGTTCATTAGAACAAGAAAAATGGAGGATTTTACATACATGTTAGTGTATGGCCTGACAGCAAGACATTGTTAAATGCACATTTGGGAGTGCTTTTTGGCCTAAATGGGCTTCTGAAAAAGCCACTTTTTGAAATGGGTTTTTTGAAAAAGTACTTTCTTATTTCTTAGTGTTTGGCTGGTCACCAGTATTTTTGTTCAACTAGCTTTTTCATAAAAGGCTAAATGGAGGTTTTTTCCCTGCTTTACAAATGGGCTTTTTTTATGCAAAAAGCCCATTTTGGGCTTTTTCACCAAACAATTTTTTTACTGGCTTTTGGCTTCTCCAACATGAAAAGAACAAAAACCCATTTTTTATGAATGAGTAGCACAAAAAGAATACCCATTAGAGAAGCACTCCCAAATGTGGCTTAAAAAATCAAGGTAGCAGAGCATTCCCCACTCAGTCAGCAATAAAAGAAAGTACACCCCTCCATTAAAAGTAAAAGGACTAATAAAATTTTAAAAGAAAAGATCTGTAGTAGGCATCTCATAATCCGAACTCCGGTTCTTGCAAGGAAAGAGGAAAACCTTCCTCCAATATGGTCATAGTATTTGAAAAGCACGAAGCACAATTAAAGTTCAAACTGAGGCACAAAGCAAGGTCTGCAGTTGACTGAAGCAAACTGCCACTTTTTGAAATCAAAAGAAAACTTGAAACACAAGAATATGCAAATCCAAATTCTGAAATAAGTAAGATATTTCAAAAAAGCTTATTAACTTAATTGGCTAGAGCATCTTGTTATTAACACAGGTTGTAGCCTTATATGTTCAAGCTCCATATAGGCTAAACTATTTAAACTTTACAATTTGTACATAATAGATACAGCCCACAATATCAAAAAATTACCCATTCAGCATTAAATTCAAGGCTCGTTTATCACAACATGGTAACAAATTGGGTGAGCCATAATTAGGTCAAGTGAGACACACACACACACCAGCTCGTGATCTTTGCAGCCCAGATGACAAACACTTTGAACAACAGAGATTAAGGTTCTCTGTTGTTCAAAGTGTTTGTCATCTGGGCTGCAAAGATCACAGGCTGGTGTGTGTGTGTGTGCCACCTGAACCTAAGTATGGCTCACCCAACTTGTTACCATGTTGTGATGAGCTATCCTTGAATTTAATGCTGAATGGGTAATTTTTTTGATATTGTGGGCTGTATTTATTATGTATAAAGTTTAAATAGTTTAGCCTATATGGTTAAGGTTCTCCAATTATCAAAAAAACAGAAAAAAAAAACAGAGATTAAGATTCTGTCTCTCAGGTTTTCTCAATTCCATGGCCACAATCATCTTGTTATATCACCACAATCAAAGAAAAATATTGCAACTCATAAGCTCCAAGGCGAAACTTGGTACAGACCACTTCTAAATACCCACATGCCAACTGGGCAAAACAGCTCATACGCGTTATCATGGACCAGCTAACCAGACCTCAACTTGACCTGACTCAAGCTCATTGCTACATCAGTGCTGGAGTTTTTTCTTTCTTTCTATATTTTGAACATTATTAAAACGTGACAAGCCACATTGATTTTTTAGTCTCTCAGGTATACTATTGTGTCAGTCCAATGAGCTGGAAATCATTCAATTTTGACATGACTGAGGAAGTTATGGCTAGAATACAAACACCATACAAGTGAATTACAAGAAATTCTTTTTTATGGTTAATCCAGCTTTTAACTAGTCTTACTAGTTTTATTCATTCATTAAAAAAAACTAGTCTTACTAGTTTTGAAATTAATTTTTGTAGGAAACAACTCAACAAGTTAGATGTGATTTTATCTAAAGAACTAAAAGTAGTAATCAATTCTAAGAAAGCATATTCATATTCTTTTGGTATTTGTAGAAGAGCTTCCATATACAAGTATGATGCTTAGGACAATTTAGAAGCCTTTTACTCTCCTGTATAACACCGAAGTTTTAACAAAGAAAAAGAAAACATAGAAAAGATGTTGTCTTGAGTATAAAACTACATGTGCTTGTATATAGTGTCAAAACACTAATATTCACATTTTCCAAAATATTATCCAACTCTTCAAAGCAGCAAAGGACGAAAGTGTTCTGTTAGACCTACATTCATGACTATAACGTCCAGGGTTTTGTAAACTTAGAAGGAATTACAAGGGAAAAGATATTTCCAGGTGCTAAGAGAAATGACTTGAACCACCAAATTTAGAGAGAGGGAGGGGGGAGGGGGAGAGAGAAGAGGAGATACAAATATCTGGAATTTGAACTGGCTGAATGGATACAAATTGACAAGGCAACTGGACAGCCATAAACATCTACATCTGCTAATATAATTTGAGATCCAGGAGTGGGCTACAAAGCCTTCTAGATATAAGTATAAATAAACATGATAATTTATTTTCAAAACCAGTGTGTGTAAGAAATCTCTAAATTCTTAATTTATTCATTATGATTATTTAATGGAAGAAGCAATTATAATCCCGGGTACATAAACTAGATACCTGAGTCTGAGCATCATCTCCTGTGACAATGTTTCCAACTGTTCGAAGAGCAGGTATGAGAACTGTAGGTGACGGATGACTGGTATGAAAAATTAAATTAAAAAAAAAAAAAAACTTATTCAGTAATAATAATTTAAGTACTTCAGGAATATAAACATAACATAAATAACTGAAGCGAAACCAGCTCTCTGGAGTGGGGTACAAAAATTATCATGCAAGAAGCTAAAACAGTTCTGAAGTATGAACTACATATTTAAAAATACGTAAATAGAATCTTACAGGAGAAGCTCCACAAGTCGTGGACAAACTCCTGCCTCAATTACTGCCTGAATTTTATCATTTGTGCCATCAGAAAGATAAGATAACGCCCAACAGGCATCTGTTAGAACTTCTTCATCAGTCAAGTGAATAAGGTGCTGAAGGGCTGGCAATGCAGGCTTAACCTGGTAAAGGGAAATTGAGAGAGTAAATTAGCATGTATATGAATATTTGAGAGATTATGGAAAACTAGTCCTAGCAGAATTAATTAATCCTACAAATACCCCACCTGGTCAAATGGTGCCGGTGGCTTTCCACGACAGAAGTTGGATAAAGTCCAGGTAGCATTCCGCAGCATAGATAGCTTTGAGTGTTCATTTAACTGAGCCAGTAATGGCATGAGTGCACCATGACCAAGAACAAGATCCCTACATTGAGGTGAGTCTCCTGCTACATTACCTAAAGCCCATACAGCCTGTTCAAGAGAATGATGGTAGGAATATCTGTTATATTTACAAATATAGACATATATACATAACGCAAGTAGTCCAACACAAGGACCAAAAATGAAGGAGCCTAAAATCAACCTGTTCACGAACGTCATCACTTGAAGAGCTAAGAAGCTGCACAAATTTAGGAACAGCACCATGGTCAATGACAACACGTGTATGTTCTGATGTCCCAGATGCAATATTGGTCAAAGCCCATGCTGCCTCAAACTGCACAAAAAGGTTTAATCAGATCTAAAAATGGTTAGAATACAGTCCCTTGCATAAAATACACAGTTGAAAGAAGAAGGGTGGTTACAAATAGTTCACACCTGTAGTTGAGGCAGATCATGCCTTCCAAGAAATTCAACAAATCGGGGGACAACACCTGCTTTGATTACTTCTTCAATAGGAGGGCTACGCTCTGCATAAATATGTGAACCAAAATTCAACAAAATAATCAGATAAACAGCAAGGAAAAAAAAGCCAAATTTCCAATTTGTTAAACTGCAAATATACCGATTGACAAAAGTTTTCTGAATTGAGTGGTTGCTTCCAATTGTGAAGCAGGATTATCTGACCATACTCCTTGTACCATTAAAGGAAGACTTTCCAACTGTCAGAGAACACCAAGAGCCAGAAATGAGTGCCAACAATATAGCTAATTAAAACAAGAGTAGGAAGTGAAGGATATCTCTCATTTTGGATGCAATGTATACTGTTACTTCTCAGAAGTAGAATAGGATACTACTAACTTCCCTGAGGGTTTAGGAGAAGAATGAATTCTCATTGTTGACTTTACCTTCTTTTCCCTCTTACATTTGATTATAAAAAATGAAATTTGAAAAAATACTAAAAATAAAATTTTGAAAAAAAAATAAAGATTCTCAATGAGATTTAGAAAATACACATGCAAGTCGGGTATTTCTTATAAGATGGTTCTTTCTTTTTTAAAGCTTCAATTCTTCTCTATCCTTAGAAATAAAAGAAACAATTGGTAGAGGAAAAAAGAGAAGAAGTCATACATTTCCCAAATAACACATCGACTCCAGAACGCACAACAAAAAACATAGAAGTAAAAATAAAATAAATACAGCACCAACAAATGCAGAACCAGGAAACATTGTAAGAAGATGTAAAATCGGAAAGATTAAAACACCAACCATCGATAAACAAACAGTTACCGAGTTTTTGAACACAAATAGGGGATACCTTTTTCTCGATCCCCGGGGCGGCTTGAGAAAGCTCGGTGGGTTGCTGGGCTTGAAGAAACCCTTCTCTACGCTTCTTGAGGAGATTGTCCTCCCGTTTGTTTTTTCTGATCTCAACGAGATTGTCTTCTCTCCTCCGCCGAGCCTCGTCTCCATCGACACCAGTTTTGTAGGATTTCTTGCGAACTTCGGTTCGAGAATTGGGTCGAAGAGACATTGTCACTTGATCTCTCTCTCTCTCTCGATTACTCCGTATTTGTAAAAATCCCTCAAAGAAACGAGAGAGTCGATTGTCTGTTGGTGTAGAAGAAGAGAGGGAAATGATTGAGTGATGAATTTGTAAGTGGGCAACTAGGCAAGTGTGAAATTAAAATTACTGCTCAGCCAAACCTTGCTCCTCCCCCGGGCTCCGGAGTCCGGCCCATTTGCAGTTGCCGTTTTAATTTACCACAATGCCCCTTAGATTTGGTAGAATGGTAGTTCAATCAAAATAAAATAAAAATAAATTGATATTTTTTGGTACATTAAAAAAAAATAGATTTTGATTGAATCAATTCATACGCCGTCGGCCGTTACCTGCAAGCTGCAAAGGATCCCAAATTCCATGGTGCACGCGTTTGGATGGTACAGAATTACAGATGCTAGGGATGGAGGGATGGGCCCATAAATAGACCAAATTTGTCCTTTCTTCCTTATCTAGTTTTTTTTTTCTTTTTGATAAATTGTATATTAATATTTTTTTATGCAAAGGAAGGAATTAACCCAAACCCCATTGTGCTTTGGGCTAGTCTCTCAATTTAGTACTTGAAAAAACATATCACTGCAGTATTTGAATTCTCTAAAAACTATCAATTTAGTCTAAAATTGTTAATCAACAATACATGACATGTAAAATGATGCAAATTTCCTTTAGGTGTTGAATAGGCGACATAATTTTGAAATAGCCGAAATAACTATTGAAATCAATTTTTGCATGGAATTAGGCACACTGTTTTTACTTAACCGATGCTAAAATACTTGAGAATACTTTTAAATAGTAAGATATTTTCTAAAATATAGGAATAGCTTAAGTATTTTAACCTTTTTCTTTATGTTTTTTTTTATTTTTTTCACTTTGTGAGTTTGTGTATATAACCCAATAACCCCAAAGATTCATGTTATGATCACAAAACTAAATTGGGTTTCATCATCTTAAAAAAATTCATAAATAAAAACATGAATTGGGTGGTGTATAAGTATAACTAATTATATGACTCATTTGGGCCTTACAAATACGATGGAATAAATGAGATAACAGTACAAATGCAAAATATATGCAGTGCAAATACATACAAATTAATACAAAATACAAGGTTTTGTACTCTATAAATTTATATTTGTACTCCTTCCAAACTGAACCTAATACTTAAATGAAGTGCGAAAGCAAGAAATCATCTATTTAATTAAGTTGCAAGTTTGCTAGGACAGTTTGGATCATCGGCCCCTTTGTCCTCACATTCAGGCCTTTTCTTTTGCTTTTTGGGTGTGTTCATGGATCTTCACCTCCTTATTTATTTGATTATTGATGGAGAGTGATTTGGCCCGACCTCATGATAAGGGGACACGTGGACATGACTCGACATAAGTAACAACTCAGTATAACGAGCTCGTTACAACTCAGCGTAACGAGCTCACTATAACCCTGACAGCTCGCCGCAAATGGCAGCTCGCTATAAGATGGTACTCCGATACCCCGAACTAAGACTCCCAACTAGAGAGCACCCCGAACTAAGACTCTCCCAAGTAGGGAGCACCCCGAGCTAAGGCTCTCCCAAGTAGGAAGCATCCCGAGCTGAAGACACCTCGGGTTAAGCTCGTCAGCCTCCCTAATTAGGATAAGCTCGCTCTTGCCTAAACTTAAGTAGGCTACCTCGGAGACCTACATCGGGAGAAGCACCTCGGCGCATCACCAGTAGCTCGGTGTAAGGTAGCTCGCTGCAGAGCAGCTCGGCGTATCATAGGGGATTTTCTGCCTAACAACCGTACCTGCCAAACCTGGAGACTACACCCACGTCTCTCGCCTGGCGGCGTCGTGCCTGCCAACCCTGGAGGTTGTTTCTTGTCTGGCAGGACCGTACTCTACAACGATCACCTTTGCCCGCCAGCACAGCTCTGACAAATAACGGCCAGCCACTCCAAGCCGTTATTTGACAGCAGATCGCCGTAGCAGGGATTCGAAGGCAGTTACACCTGACATGTTAGAAGACCAGTATATAAGGACCCCGACCCCCAGGGGCGAAGGTATTGCGTGATCATCACTCTAGCTCTTTGATTTATCTACATCTCTCTCTCTCTTTCTCTCACAGCTTTCAGTTCAAGTTACTAACTTAACCATCGGAGTGTTCCCGCCGGGTGAGCCCCTCGGGATCCTTCATCTTCTTCTTCACAGGTGTCTCTCTTCCGTCGCCAGCTAGGAGCTCAGCCACTTCCAGCTAGGAGTGACCAGATCGCACACCATCAATTATGATGATGAACATAACCATTTGCCTTCATTCGATGTGCAAGATCAGTTCTAACATCCTTTGAATATCTCTATATTTATATTTATGTGTTTTATTTCATGGAGAGATATTCCAATGCGAGGCTATAAAGGTTGTTTGAATGGGCCTTTTAAATTAGTTATGCTTCAGCTTTTCGATGTAACTTTCAAGTTTGACTACTCATCGGAGCATGTATTCATGGAATGTTGTATTGGCATAGTTATAAGCTTACCCCACTATAATCGATGTTGTTTTTTTAAATAGTATCCCTCATCAAATCCGTTTTTTCAGACCAAGTTTGATATTTGGTTAAAATGTTTTTTTTTGGAAAAACTTTTCTCAAACCATGTATTGAAAATGGGAAAATGTGTGGTATGAAAAGATGTCTTCTTTTGGTGTTTTCTCCCATTTTTTATTATTATCGTTGTCTAACACCCTATAGAAGTTATTACTCTTTTAAGTGAATAGTACAACATCACATCAACCGCTCTTTTCTTATAGAGATGATAATAGCGAGATTCGAAACCACACCACCGTTGGAACAACTCATCCGTGCACCAATTGGGCTATCCTCAGTTGGTTTTTCTCCTTTTTTTGGGGACTCTATCTAATAAGGGCAACTTTTGGGCCCTAATATCAATAAAAATAATCTTTTTAACATAATTTGTAGAATAGGCTAACTTTTTTTTTAATATCAAATAGGGGCAGAAACAATGTTCATCTTCTTCTTCCTCCAGACTGCCGAACAAATTTCCCCACCTCCAATCTCTTTCTCATTCTCTTTTCCTTCTTCTTCTTCTTCTTCTTCTTCTTCTTCTCTACATCTAAGTTGTTCCAAACTCAAAGTAGAACTGCTATGAGTTATTCTTCTAAAGCAATTAAAAGAATACATGGAACACCGTACCAAGTACACAAATCGGCGGTTTGGTTCCAACTACTAAGTCTGTTAGAGGCATTTGAAGCAGTTTTGAACACCATTAAAGCATGGAAATCGGGATTGGAAGAGGTCTATGAGTATGCTAAGTGGATAAGCGAAATATACATAATGAAATGCAAAAATGCAAGAGTGGGCTTCACCATTTTTGCTTGCAGCAAGCTAGCAACTATAAGGGTGAATAAAAAAGTAGAGATTTGTAATCAATATTTATTAACCTTGGGGGAGATTTGTTCGGTGGTTTGAAGGAGGAAGGAGGTGAATAGTGTTTCTACCCCTATTTGATATTTTAAAAAAAAAGTTAGCCTATTTTAATAATTATGTTAAAAAGATTATTTTTATTGATATTAGGGCCCAAAAGTTGCCCTTATCAACTACAATCCCTTTTTTTTACTATTGTTAGCACAAAGGAAAATTTCTTAAACTACCCCTACTATTTAGCTAATGGGTTTCTAGCAGATAAGGGCAACTTTTTACCCTAAATATGAATAAAAGATCATATTTTTATAAAATAACCAAAATAAGGTAACTTTTTTTGAAAAATATCAAGGAAGGGCAATGACACTGTTCGACGTCCTTTTTCCACTCTCAGCCTTACCCTCCCCGCCTATCTTCTTTCTTCCTCCTCTTCTTCTTATTCTTCTACGCGAGCTTGTGTGTTTGAAAGATTCAGAGATAGAGAGAGATGGGGAATTGCTAGGCTATAGATGCAACAACATTGGTTATACAACATCCTGGTGGGAGAGTAGAGAGATTGTATTGGTCAGTGACCGCTAGTGAGGTCATGAGAACGAACCTAGGTCACTACGTCACTCTCATAGTCACACTGTGTCTCCCAAAGAAGGAGGAGAAGAGTGACGATGCCATCCATATTACGCGTGTTAAAGTACTCCGCCCTACTAATACTCTTGTTCTTGGTCAAGCCTATAGACTCATCACCTCTGAAGAGGTTATGAAAGGGCTCTGGGCTAAAAGGTATGCAAACATGAAAAAGAGCCAGACGGAATCCGTCCAAAGGCAACCAAGAACGACAAACTCAAACTTGCACGGTTTAGGATCTGAAATAAGAGAAAGGAAGAGCGATTTACAGAATATTAGTCAGACAGCTAGACATGAAAGACACCGACCAAGAACAGGGACAGCATTTACGCCATCCACATCTACTTCTGCAAGTGCAAAGTCAAGACCATGGAGGCCCTCCTTACAGAGCATAACCGAAGCCAGTAGCTGATGATGCTTCTACAAATTTTCAATCCATTATAATAGTCAGAACAACCAAAAAATACAAAGGTAGAGGAAGACGATGAACAATGTCATTGCCTTTCCTTTATATTTTTCAAAAAAAAAATACCTTATTTTGGTTATTTTATAAAAATATTATCTTTTATTGATATTCAAGCCAAAAAGTTGCGTTTATTTAGAAACCCTTAGCTAATTGACAAACTATACTCTTATTGTTTAATTATTGTCGTAGAGTATTCCTAAGTTTTTTTTTTGACAATTGGCTAACTCTACTCCTATTGTCAACGTTTACTGATGTTTTGTCAAAATCCGCACACGTGACATCAGTGACATTTAAATTTTTTTTAAAATCCAATATTACCCTTGTCTCCTTCCTCTCACCCCGCAGCCCCTACCTCCTCCAACCTCTCTCTCTCTCTTCCCACCATCTTTCTCTTTCTTCCTGTTCTTCTTCTTCTTCAAATTTGACATTGTTATTTCAAGTTGGATGTCTTGAGACTAAGACGAGAGGGAGAGGGAAGCGGAAGGGATTGTTTTAGAGAAAACAAATGGAGAGAGGAGGAAAGAATTGGTTGCCTTTGTCATGTTACTCTTTGCCCCCCTCTCTCTCTCCTTCCCATTCGTTTTGAACCATTTAAACCCAACCACATCTCCTTTCTTACAACCCCAACAAGCTCATGCCTACATTCTTACCGGGTCAGTAGTCT